TTTTACATGTGAGATTAGATAGAGATAATATGTATATATAGATATAGATGATAAATATATATATATATATATATATATATATAGGTGATACAGATATAGATGATACAGATAGATATGTAGTTGTTTCTGTAAGGTATTCAGGGTTCATCTAGCCCATTTCTTTTTTAATAGTATTCTTTTTTTTTAGTAGAGAAAATTTTAAGTATTGTACTCTGAAGATTAAGCATAAAATAAATTAGTTTTGTAAGTAGACGGTTCTTTTCAAATAAGCAAGAAGACGGCATGAGGTCACCTCGCATTCTATATGAATACACATGACTTATTGATTTATGTTTTGTCGTTTAGGTGCCGAGTGCTTGCGTGTAATAGTAATGGTTTTAACTATTTGGAAACATGATGTGTTGAAGTCTATGTCCACTTGCCACCTGTTATTCTTGACACCTTTCCTGGCCTGAGTATGAAGAATGACCTTTATTCGTGCCAAATATGTCTCAATAGAAACTACACCAAAGTTAGAACAACCCGGAGTTTCTCATTAGCCATAAAGAAGAATGCAATCATTTCAGGAAATGGATGGGACTAGAAATCATTGAAATTATCCAGACTCAGACAAATCCCACGGGTTTCGTTATGTGAGGAACATAGAGTTAAAACTATAAGACACGCTGGGTATTGTGGCACACACCTTTAATCTCAGCATTTGGGAGGCAGAGGCAGGTGGGTTTCTCTAAATTAGAGGCCAGCCTGGTCTACACAGTGAATGCCAAGAGAGCCGGAACTACAGAGACAGACCTCTCTCTCTCTGTATAAGGTAAAGCGGGAGAGGGGACACACACATGAATAACAAAGCAGGAGATAAATATATTCACACATGATGGGGTCTATCTGATCATCTATATGGATACATATGGACATAGAGTAGAAAAGGAACCCACAGGCATCAAGGGCGGCCAGGAGAAGGCACTGATCGAAGTATATTATGTGCACACTGACCGCATCACACCCAAACCCATTACTTTGTTAGATTGCTTTCCCCACCGCCTCACAAGTGTGAATGAGGGCACCGTCTGCACAGATGTCCCCATAGGCACTTTAGGTCGCTGTGGCCACTTCTGTACTTCTTCTCCCTTTGTATGGTGGCTTCTAACAGGCAGCTGTACTTATTCCCTTACAATAACAGGGCGACCCAGAAACAGACCGTGACAGCAAGAAAATCAGATTGCAGAAGGATGTCCCCTCACACTGTGCTTCGTCTTCGTCTTCCCACACCGAGTCTTCCAAGACGAAGTGAGTAAGGCAGGTGGGATCAACCGGGGCAGCTCATCGGCCTTGGGGGTGACAGGACAGAGAGCTTTCTCCTGCACCAGAACCCGCCCTGGCACTGGTGACTTGGGAGCTAATGGTTCATTCGTGTAGGTCTTGTCCACAGAGGCCTCGTGAGAACTGGCACTTCTATCAGCAAACAGACTTAGCGAAAACATTTCCACTAAGGAACATTTCCGAGGACTACTCTTTATAGTGGCATTGAGGGTGAGCTCAGGGACCAGCTAAGCAGGGTGCTCTGCCTCCCAGCTGTCTCTTGCTGGATTTCTCTTGCCATGGAGGAGCACTTATAGTAGGCAATGAGGGCTTAGACTGATTTAATCCCTACTACTGTGTAGGCATAGGGACAGAGAAGAAAACACTATTGCTATATTAGCAGGATAGAAAATGGGGAAAATCTGCTCAAAGCCCTGGGTTCCTCCTGCTGGGTGTTGCTTGGACTTGGAGTAGCTCAGGCTCAGTGCCTGCCTTAGAGACAAGAGCTACGCGGCTTTCGTGCGTGAGTGAAACAGACGTGGCAGATGTCAGAGTAGTGTCAAGGCGGTGTGACCATAAACAGTAACTTACTTTCTCGGGCTTATTCAAGAAATTTCCTCACAAGAGACTAGGCAAACACAAGGGCATTTTTGGGGGTGGGGGTAGGCAGGGGGAGCATAGCAGCAGACACAGGAGTGTGTGTGACAGAGGTGGCATCAGCAGCCCAGGCTGCCTTTTTGTCAGGGTAAAGCACAGATAGATGAGAGATGGGGTGGTCAGAGACTTCCAGCTTAGTGAAAACTCCAGGTTGTGAGACCTCACAGGGCAGCAACCCTCAAACCTGACCCTTCCGCAGCGCAATCAAAGGACAGAAGGTGATGTGTATTCTGCTTTGACTGCCCTTGCTCCCCAGGACTCCCAGGCCCTCCTCGGAGTCCTCAAGAAAGGAAATGCTTCCTCCTCCACCTGTGTCATCCTCTTCCTCCTCCTCGTCGTCTTCCTCCTCCCAGAAGTCAACCAAAACTGCACACAAGAGGTCAAAACCGGATGCAGAAGCCTGTGGTCAGGATCCTCCCAAAAGTGCCAGCAGTACCAAGGGCAACAAGGACTCCTCTGTTCCCAAGCACAGAAAAGTGCAGGCCAGGGGCTCGGAGCACAAAGTAAGCAGCAGAGATGGGCGAGGCAGAACAAGGGTGGCCAGGACATTGGTCTGTTTTAGTTTGACAAACTCTAGCTGGGTTTAAAGAGCAAATGGGGGAGGAGCCCTTTATTAAAGCAAACCAGAGGAAAAATCAGACTCGGGTTCATAATGCATTTCTGCCGCAGGTTCAGATGCTTGGCGTGAGAAATGGGTTAGTTCAGTTCTTCTTGGATACTTCAGTTATTGATCATAAGGAATAAGTCAAGAGACCTGGCTTCCAGTTAGCCTGGGGCGTGCTGGGGGCGGGAAGACTGCTACTGCTTCGTTGGGTGTTCCCTGCTCTTCCCCTGTAGCTCCAGTTAAATCCCTAGCTCAACCACGGTCTGACTTACTGGGCACACCGTGGTTGCTGCTGGGGCAGTGATCCTCTCTGCTGAGGGGTGATGTGCATGTGTTTTCAAGGGGTCTTCTGGAGAACCCGCAAACCCGTTCCCAGTGCCTTCTTTGCCAAATGGTAACTGTAAACCAGGGAAGCCACAAGTGAAGCCTGACAGGTAAGTGCCCCTTTCCTCCTCCCCTATTTCCCCTTACCCCTCCCCCTTTGCTTCCCCCACCCCTTCTTCCCCAGCCCTACACTACTGCCTTTATTTCACCCCACCCCCTTTTCTCTTGCTTCACTCCCTTTATTTCCCCTCCCCGCTTTGTTTCTCCCTGCCCCCCCTTTCTCCTTTTTCATCTTTTCTTGCCCCAGGTAGACATTTTCGGTTTGTATGACTCACACCTGTCTTTCTTCCTTATTTTTGCAGACAGCAAGCTGATTTTCATATGAAGGAGGCTAAAAAATTGAAGTCCAAAGCAGAGGCAATGGTCAGTCTTGGTTTTTATGTCCTTGGTTAAACTGGGGTCTCTGTTCTGCCATGTTCCCCACCTTGGCGTATATGGATGGGGCAGCAGGTGGGAGGACCATGTGACAGTGGGTTCAGGGGTGGGGGCAGCAGGAGGGGTATGGCTGCTGTTAGCCACAGTGTAATGTGAGCAGGATAATCAGGGTCTTCGTGACTGAGACCCCAGGTCGTTTAGGGGGGCAGTGTGCAGTCTGACTGTATACAGACTTACAAACTGAGTAGAAGTTGGTTTATGGGATGTTGGTTTCATGCATAAATGCTTTTCCCCCCAATTCACTACATTTGTCCTTGAGATGCACAAAATGAATTATTATTAAATCAGTCTGTCTCCACTCTCAACACTGTACAAGGTGAGGAAGCCTGTTTGCACCCCACCGTTATCTTTTGCATGCTAGTTGGCCATGGGAAGGCAGTGGCCAGTGCAGGCTATAAACATGTCCTCGCTTGCAGCAACTCTCCTAACCTGTGAGCCTCTGAACTTCTGCAAGGGGGATGGTTTGCTGTCAACTGTAGACATCAAGTGTGGTCTTACGTCCGTGCAGCAATTTAGTGGGGTCACATGTGCCCTGAGTCTTACGTTTTTTGGGGTGAGGGTTGTGCCACAGTCAGCAACAGCTCTCAGAAGTCAGTTCTCTCTGTCCACCGTGGGGGTTCCAGGGGTCAGACCCTGTCGTCAGGCTTGGGAGCAAGCATTTTTGCCCACTGGGCCATGTCATTAGCCTCCTGGAAGGTTCTCTGGACAGACTGCCTCTGGAGCCACGTGCAAACCTGTTGGCTTTTTGTGACTTGACTCCTTTGTCCCCTTTTGCCCATTGTAACTTTGGCCTGTGCCTTTCTACCCAAGGTTGTGGGTTCCCTGATAAAATGGTCCTTGTGCTGTGAGGGATCTCAGCCGTCCCCTTTGGCCCTAGCACTGCCGCTCCCCCAGACGTGGGCCGTGTGACAGCTCAGCTCGTGCCAAGCAGCGCTGTGTTCTCTGCTGCCTCTTTTCCAGTGCCAGGCTGCTGCAGGAGCTGCACAACTCTTTCTGTTGGGGGCGACTACTGTGCACCATAAGCAGATACCAAAAGCTTACCTGGCCTTAGACACCATTAGCTTTTGACTGTGTCGGTATTCAGAAGAGCTTTGAAGTGTCTGAAATGCAAGCACATGCTTGTGTATGTGCACGGACGTGCGTGTGACACACCAGTTTATCCCTCTAGTGGTGGTAAGATGCAGGTCGCAGTAGCAGGGGAGAGCCGTTTCCCTACCCCTGGCACACAGCGGCAACACATGGAAATCCAGAGCAGCCTGAGAGGGATCAGCCTGTTTCCCATGTGCATCTTTGCTGTTTTCTCCCCTTTGGAACACAGCAGATGGGAGCATTAGCAACACCTACAAGCTGACCCATGTTAGCCAGATGCGCTCAGTGTGTGATACATATGCAACATGCAGGGAAACGGACCGCTTGCCACATTACCGCTCAGCTGAACTGGCTGCATGCCACTCAGCAAGATCAAGTGACCCACTGTGTCTTCAGGATGGTAGCAGACCACCAGTATCCAGTATGTTCATATTCACACATTTCCTTGAGGGGGTTTCGAGAGTTTGTCCTTGTTGGCCCAGGGCATGTCCTTGTACAAAAACACCAACATGCCAAAGGAGATTAATAGTCTGTCGGGCTCCAAGTCATCAAGTGATCAGTGAGATATTTTATACGAGATGATAAGCCTCAACCTTCACAAGGAAACCCATGTCTGCTCTGGATGCTGGCTCGCCTGCTTCTCGGAGGTAGCCTGTGAGTGACTGGATCACAGCCACTAATGGGGCTGTGCCCTTTTGTTTGGTGCAGTTCCGAGAATCATATTAATATAGGATTCCTTTCTTTTTCCTTGTGAATTTTTGCTAGAAGACTCTTTCCATAGGTCAGAGCTGACCACTATGGCTATTCATCTGTTCTGTTTGTTCTTTCTCATGTCTCTCTAATCAGGAGTACATAAAGAAGTTCCAGGGCAGAATGTGTGGGTAAGAAACTGAGCGGGCACTCCCTGTGGTCTCACAGAGCCTGTGTCTTCCCCCACAGGCGGACAAGACTGGAAAGGCCTTCAAGTATTTGGAAGCCGTCCTGTCTTTTATTGAGTGTGGGATGGCTAAGGAGTCAGAAGGCTCAGCAAAGGCGGCGTATGCTGTCTACTCAGAAACCATAGACCTCATTAGGTAAGTAATGGGGTGTTGAGCGTCCTCCAGACCTGCCTTTCTCCTCTCTGGGTGTGAGGACAGCACCTGCCTGTCGCGACCCAGGCTCTGTTACCTTTTTCCGAATTAAAGTGTGTTGTAGACCAGGGCACACAGCATAACTGGGTGCAACAAGGCCATTTTGGCGAGTGCTCTGAAGAGAACACCGAGTCTCGGGAGGGTGCTTTTCCCAGCTTAGGTTTCCTATCAGATGTCTCCTCCAGTCCATGCTCCCTGCATGTCACAGGGGTTTAGTGAGGATGTGGTCAAGCTTGGTTGCAGGAGAGAGCAGGCTCAGGGCCAGGTCTTCTGAGTGGCTTGTGGTTGCTCTTAACCCCTGCGCTTCTGTGCCGCACACAACACATCTTCATTTCCTCTGGAAACCGGAGAGGGAGCTAGGACGGCCAGCACACCCGGGCTCCTGTACCCGACCTGTTTAATCTCAGACACTTTTGTCTCCCTGCAGGTTCACAATGTCACTAAAACCCTTCTCAGATACCACGGCGCCAGCACAAGAAAAGATATTTGCCGTTTTATGGTGTGTAAAATTTGATTCATTATATAAATAGCACTTTCCTTTGATTAAACTTTATCTAAAAAACCCTTGAGTTTGAGACCAGCTTGGTCTACATAGAAATGCACCTGCCTCTGCCTTGCCCGTGCTGGGATTAAAGGTGTGCAGCACCACAACTGGCAGGAGGCAGGTGAACGTGACCATGGTCATCAGGAAATGGTGTCTGCCGTGCTCTTCTGCCCCCTGGGGGGCTCTCTGGTCTCAGGACTCAAGCGATGTTTGTGCACTTGTTGCCAGCGTGGCAATGTGGAGTGCAGTGTTGTGCCCGAGGGGAGAACCCAGCGTGCTCACAAGGGCCGCTTGGCAGAGTCTCTCAAGGCAGGAGTGCTGGCCTTGAGGTCACCACAGTTCAGAGTAACCTCTGGTTTTGTTTGCAGTTTGCGTTGCCAGTCCCTGGTGAACATGGCGATGTTTCGATGTAAAAAGGACGTAGTAATGAAGTATTCTCGCACGCTTAGTGACCACTTCAAGAGTTCTTCCAAAGTGGCCCAGGCACCTTCTCCGTGCATGGCAAGGCAAGTGTTAAGTATGGCTAAACAATGCCCAGCCGTGTCATTCACCTCTTGCTTGTGTGACGCTTTATGTGCATGTGACTTTGGGTTCTTCAGAAATCATGTAGTTGGCCCTCATGTGCACTGGATCCCTAAACCGAAGCCGTTTAGGCTGATGTGATAACATACAGGGTACAGTGGTCCCCTCTTACCTGCTGAAAGGTACGTCCCAAGATCCCCAGTGGGTTGCCTAAAATTACAGCCAGTACTGACCTTCTGAGGATTCCTCACACATGTAAGATTCCCCTACTGCTGCCAGCACATACTCTGCGAACAGAAACCGCTCGCTTGCGCTGTCAGGTGAATGTTGGAATGTGTCTCTCATGGTCCTGCCCAGTGCAATTTGTTGTCTAAGACAGGAACTCACTCTATAACCCAGGCTGGCCCCCAAATTTGTGCTCTTTCTGTCCCACCGCCCAAGTGTATACAGCACTGCACCCGTGTTTGGTTTCTTGTCCGTCACGGAGTCCTGTTTCTTCTGGGCCTTGCTTTTAGAGAGCATTAAATATAATACAGACCCATTTGTAGCAATCAGAAAGGGAGGGTCTTCAAGCGGCCTCTTACAGAATGTCCTTTGCCCTTTCTGGCAGCACATATACTAAAATCAGAACAATACAGAGAAGATTAGCATAGCCCTTTTGCAAGGATTGTGAAATGTTCCATTAAAAAAAAATCCTAATGGAGCCTAGACCAAGGGCATATGCTGTCAGTCATGTGATTTAGCTAGGGTGGCTTCATTATAACCCTCGCACTGCCAGGATGCAGCAGTGACCGCTGCTCTGGGCAGCTCTGACCGCATGGCAGCGTCTGCCTGACCCGTCTTTCCATCTTTTGTCATGCTTACGTGATGGAGCTTTTTCATCCTCTGACCCAACTGAAGCATGTAAACTTGTAGAACCAGGCCATCAGCCAGGAACAGGAGCGAGAGGTCGTGGGGCTCCTGAACACCAGTCACTGTGCCCAGGCTGCTGCTGGTCTGTTTGATCTGTGTTACTGACCCAGGAGGAGTTTTCAGAACCAGGCATGCACTTCACCTTTATGGTGCTGTGACCCAGGGAAAGAAAGAGAAAGGTATAGTAAGTGATTCAGGCAGTGGCTCTGTGTGGCTCCACGGGTCTGAGAGTCAGGTCTGAGCTCAGAGGCTCCTGCCTACCATGTGTGAGGCCTCGATTTAGTGTCTAGCTCGGCAGAGGGATGAGGGAGGGAGTCACATATGAAGTCTGAGTCCAGAAGAGCGTGGTGGGAACCCAGGTCAGTCTTCCAGATGTGCCTTTGATCTTGTAGGAGTGACTTTAGCAGTGATTACTGTTTGGGGGCACACACCCTGAAATTTAGACTGCAGTCTAGAGGCTGGTCTGTGATCTGCACGTCTCTCTCCATCCTTGCAGGAGCACAGGCGTTCCGTCTCCCCTCTCCCCAATGCCTTCTCCTGCCAGCTCTGTGGGGTCCCAGTCAAGTGTTGGCAGCATGGGGAGCAGTGGGGTGACGGCCACCATCAGTACCCCAGTCACCATCCAGAACATGACCTCCGCCTATGTCAACTTCACATCCCACGTCCTTAAGGCCTTTGATCTGTGGGATCAGGCAGAGGCCCTTACAAAGAAGAATAAAGGTGAGGGGCTCTGTGGCAGCAGCCAGTGTGGCATGCGGGTGGGAGGTGTTTCGGTCCAGGTTTACATTCTCTCTCACGAAGCAAAAGAGAGACGGGCAGTCTCTCTTCCTAGTCCCTCTGCTCTGCTTTATAACCAAGTTCCAGATCTTCCTTGAGGTCTGTGGTGTGAGCTAGATTCCCGAGGCTAGATCTCTGCCTTTAGCACTCCGCCTCCTCTCGGATGTTGGCATCGTTGTTTCAGCCTGAACTGAAATGTTAGCGAAAAGAGCAGAGCCAAGCGAGCTGTGCTCCGGCTGTCCCCTGGCTCAGCACACTTGGGATGGAGCGGCACGGCCCCAGGGTTGAGTTTGTGTGTTTCCAGCATTAGTTACGATGGCTAGCTACAGTCGAAGACATACAGCATAGCAAATATCACTGAGACCTAATTGGGAAGGACCGGGAACTCCATCCAGGCTTGAGTCAGGGAAAGTGAATATACAAGTGCCCAGTGGCCACAATTAGGTTTGCTTCCTGGTGGAAGAAGATGGCGGGCGCAGGAGCTCTCGAGCGCCGGAGCTCTCGATCTCCCCACAGCCTCTTAGCCTTCTTGGCAAACTGTCCCCTCTCCTCTCATGCACCCGTTGCTCACGGCGCACCAGTCAGACACACGCACCACTGTTCTAGGTGTGAGTTCCGGGTTTTACTCAGAAGGGAGGGCTGTCAAGAATTAGCCATTCACAGCTTCATGCTAGGCAAGCCACAGGATGCTGTGGGTATACGACCTCCAGACTTTGTTTTCATTGTAATGTGATCTGTACAAGTATTTACTCATGTTGGATTTGGATTTGATTGCAGACTTCTTTGCTCAGCTCAGCACAAAGGTGCGTATCTTGGCCCTCAACAGCAGCCTGGTGGACCTGGTGCACTACACAAGACAAGGTCTGCAGCGGCTGAGACAAGCTCCCAAAACTCCCTAGTACAGGCTGGGATTACTTGATGCCTTGGAATGTCTTTGCACAATTGGAAGCCTTGATCAGTGTAGACAGCTGTCCGACTGGGATGGCACACTCAAGAAGTGAAACACCATGAGATGGCCAGAATGCTTGCCCACTCAAACCCACAAGAGCTGTGTGGCCATTGGTTGGACACTGGTTAGCAGAGCGGATGGTGGGAAATGATCTGCCTTTCCTAACGGAAGGACAGAAGTGCAATTGGAGCCTAGCTGGCACATGGATGGTCTAGCGACATTTCTGTTTGTTTGTTTTTCTGTTTGTTTGAACAATAGGATACAATTTGCAGAGGAAAGGACGAGAAGCAGTTTCTGGTCCACAGCAGATTCCTGTCATCTCAGTGGCCATATAAGTTCACTTCCAGAAGGAATTTTTTTTTCAAATAATAATTTTTGGTGAAGGGTTTTATTGATATATTTTTTTCTTTTCAAGTTTTAAAGAAAATATTGTTTAATAAATTGTGATGGCCACCTGTAAAGCAGAAGTCGTGAAGCTCCACTGTGCTACTTCCTGCAGTGAACAGTGGCTCTGATGACAGTGTCATCCTTTAGAGGATTGAAGGGGCCGCCCCCGTCCCCAGTGCCTAGAGTCCTGCACTGTCTAGCTCTGGCTTCCTCGGGTCTGTCCTAGAGTGGCAGCGTCTAGATCCAGGATCCATCTTATGGTCTTCCCCACATCCCAGAAAGTTCTGCACTCCCTGCCTCCCGCCACCACACTCCTGGAAAGTGACTGGCTAAGCAGCACCCGTGGTGCATGTGGGCAAAGGGAGCCACTGTTGTTTGCCTTGGGTGGGAGGCGGACGGACTTCCTCATCTGTCAGAGTCCCCGGTGCCGACAGTGCTGTGGCAACTCGTTGTCCTTAGTCAACGAAAGTGAGGTCTTCCTACAGAAGCTGTATTTTTCTGCTACAAATTATTTTATATTTATAGCAAAACTCAACCTTCCAAAGCCCGTTGATTATCCATGGGATACTGCCTCCCCAAAAGAATATGGAGATTTGGGGTTTGGGAATCCACTACCACACACCCTCAGTCCAGACCGACTTCTCAGGTACGGTGATTGGATACTGAAGACCTGTGACCTTCCCCAGCCATACCCGCCCCCATTGATCAAGTCCACGTTGACAGAGTGAGAGCACACACGGACTTCACACCTGCCCATAAGCACAGGCCTTTCACTGAGAGTCAGAAGTGAGTACTGGAATGCTCTTGAGCGTAGCGGTTTTAAAAGCCAATTCTCTACCCCTGCAGAAAGTAGAATTTGCACGTGTTATGACTGTTTTTCCCCTCCCCCCTTCCCACCCATCTCCACTTGCTACCAGCCTTGCTGTGTGTTTGTATCCAGAGATGAGTGGAGACGGAAGACCCATCTTATGAGGATGCCTGAGGTCCCCGGAGTGGGGGACGACTTTATCTTGGTAAATCCACACAGGGGCTGCAGGTGGGTGTGGTGCCAGGTGTTGGTGCGTCCCTCCTCGGCCTCTCGGCCTGCTTTGGATGGAGCCAGAGAAATGGCTGCCCTGTGCGTCTCTGTTTCCTGTAAAGTTGTTGTTCACTGAGCACGTGGTCAGTCGTCCTCGTCACCTCTCGAGCAGAGTCTGGCTCGTGTAATCACACACGGCTCTTTTCCCTTCTCCCATGGCTGTCTGTATCCCTTGCTGTACCGTGGAAACGAGCTGCCCGTCGGTTGTGACCGGTTCTAGTCTAGACAGATTTTGCCAAAGCATGTGTGTCCTGCCAGTGGCCCACTGTGCCCCTTGACTGAACACGCTCAGCCCGTGCAGGAAGAACGGGCTGCCTCGTCCTTTGTACTGGATGTTTTCTCTCAACTCTAGACTCCAGTTTCATTTGTACCTTGAAAACTAATGAACTTGGACAGACCTGTTTGTAGTAATTTGGTGTGTAGATGAGAAAGAGAGGGAACACAGTGGCCGGTGAGTGCTGTTGCTGCTCAATGTGGAAACCTGAAGATCATGTAAACAATTTTGCACTTTTCACTATATGCTCACAGTTCCCCAGGGCAGCACTTTCCCAAGGCGATTCATCCGGAAGGACTATAAAATGAACCCCTTGAATGCGTGATGCTACAACCGTAGAAAAGTATATACTTCCTGGTGAGGGAGGCGGCGTGTTGAAGAGTGAAGGGCAGTCTTGCCTTTGCCTTACAACGGGTGTGGATGGCCATACATGTAGAAGCCCTTCTAGATCATAAAAAATCCTGTCGCTAGAACCAGTTGTTCTCCTTCATGGTGCCAAGAGGGCAGGCCCCGTGGGAGCAGGGATTGCACGGCAAGTGTATCCTCTGGACAGAAAGGACCCCACCCACCCCTCTGTGCGCTCTAATTCTAGGTCTTAGGATGTTTAGAGTGGGCTCTTCCCCGTCTTGATTGAAAATGTGCCTTAACTGACACCTTATGTATTCATGTTAGGGACAGGACCTCACCCTTAGGATTCCTGCTTAGAAAGCGCTGTGCGCTGCACAGCTACGGTCCCGATGCAGAGGATGAGATTCGTCTAGACGTATTTGTGCCTTTGTTGACCAAACAGCTTCTGAAGTGATGCTCTTTGTTTTGCCACGGCTTCAAGGGCTGATGTTTACTTTGCTGCTTTGTCAAGTCTGAGGTCTGTCTGTGCATCTTAAGGTAAATGAGTTGGGCTTTACAAAAATATCTAAACTCTTTCCATGCCCCCTGCTGCGAATCCCTCCTCTTGGTGAGCTACCTTTCCCAACACTACCAGTCCACCACTTCGTTGTTCATTCTTTCCCGAGAATATTCCAGGCTCCTTTTAGAGACAGAGAAGTGTAGGTTTTCCTCACTGAGAATGAGCCAACCGCTCTGCAGCTGTGGAGAGGGTAGGTTCTGTTTGGATGCCTCCTTCTCCCTGCCTCCTCTCCTCCTGTTGGTTTTGGTCTATTTGGAAATAATGGGTGTGAGGACGTTTCCTGTGCCTTAAGGGATGTTAAAGGGCAGAAGGGCATGATGTTGGGGTATTTCTGCCAGGTGGTCCTCCAGTGTGCAGTCCGGTCATGCTGGCTTCCCACTGAGAACAGACACCTGTGGCCACGCCCTTCTGATGATTGACAAGCACATTTCTTCAGGCGGCTGTGAGTTTCCTAGGGGTGAATGACACACTATATTTTGTTCCACTGTGCGTCCCACATTGCAGTCACTGTGATGACCAAAGTGCCTCTTTCCCTACCTAAGAGGGAGCCAGAGGACGGGAAGGAAGCTTAGAGCTCCTTGCGAGCCTGGATATTGCTACATCTGTCCATAGGACGGACACTGGAATAAGGCCACTGACACGCAGGCCTCGCTGCATTGCTGGGCCGCACCGTGGTTGACCTGAGGAAGATGAACTCGCTTTGCCTAGGTGTTTTAGCAATACTCAATACAGGCAGTATTAGGTTTGCCTTTTGTTCAGGCCACGACGTGTATTGCTAATACTGCACACCCTCACAGTCTCATGCTGGGGTGTGTGCAATGTCTGCTCTGAATCTTGTTTTAATTTTTTCTGAATGTGATCATGTTTTGGATGATACCTGAGCAGGGTTGCCTTTTTTTATTTATTACCATTATATATTATATTATATATTATATATTTTCTTTCTTGTAATGTTAGAGGAAAGTCAAATCTTGGTATTATTGAAATTGCTTTAAAAAGGAATAGGTTGCCCAGGTGATACTGCAAATCACCGGTTTGTTTTCCTTTGATTACCATGGAACACAATGGGTCTGTGCAGGCTGGGGAGCCTCTGCTCCCGGTGAAGATGGAAAGCAACAGTGGAAACACCACATTTTTATCAGCTTCAGCAATGAGACTGCAAACTTGGGGCTTTTGTGAATAAAATTTAGCTGCCTTGTAGAATCCTTTGAAAGAGGCAGACATGATCTGTGAGAATTTTTTTTAAAAGAAAATCTGCAAAAGATCTTTCCAAAGATAATGTGCCACAGATCTTTTGTTCTTCTCTGTATTGAGGATTAAATGCTGTTTTAAATGCAATTGACTTGTTCATCTTCACAGTCTTTCCACGAGATCAAACTGTAGAAAAAATATTTAATAAAAATTTAGAGAAATCATTGGAGTTGAAACTGTGGTTTTTATTTTGCTCAAATATGGTGATGCTTGTTTGTTTGTTGGGCCAGGGCCTGTCTGACACCAAGGCCCAGCTCGGGCTCACAGGTCCTCCTGCCTCACCCTCCCACCGCTGCCACAAATGGCTACACCAGGCAGCCTGCAAAGCTGCCAGCTCCAGTCAGTGTTGTCTCTCACGCTCCCACGACTTCCGCTGCGTCCACGGTGCATTCAGATTGTTGATGTGAGGAAAGGAGGAAAGAATGCCACGTCACATGCTTCAGTTTGCTGTAGCAGACAAGCTTGTGGAGTCCTCAGCCAGCGCTGAAGGGCTGGAGGCCTTCTGGCCCTTAGGAAACACCGCAACAAGACTCCAGCTCTGACTTCTTGGATTTGAACCTCAGCTCCCTAAGCTCCGTGGCTTTGGACGTGTGACTTAACCTCTCTGGTCTTTTCGTTCATGTGCTTTCTACTCCATCAGACTAAAAAGGCCATGGAGATTGGTTTAACCCCATTTTCAGTTTTCCTCCTCTTAGTCTTGATGACACAGACCCATGGAGCAAGCAAGGTGAGTAGCGTTGGTGTGGGAAGTGGGAGCCTGTGCTGTTGACACAGATCTCAGCTGAAGGGGGCCTTGAGAGATGAGCCATCAAAGACAGTCCTCCGTGTGATGTTTCTGTCACAGAGACTTGGACGACCTTAGACGTCGGCAGGGGCTGTACTCCTTTCACCAGCGTCTGTCAGGCGCCGAGACTGTCGGGATGTCACAAAGCAATGACTCTCAACCTGTGGGTAGCGACCCTTTGCCACACCTATCTCTCTCAAAGTATTTGTATTACGATCCATAACAGTAGCAAAATTATAGTTATGAAGTAGCAATGAAAAGGACTTTGTGGCCAGGGTGTGTGAGAGAGAGAGACGGCATCAGGAAGGCAGAGAACGACTGGTATAAAGGAAACGTCCGTGAATCGCCCTGAAACAAAGCACGTGAGGAAACATCAGACTACTTGTCGGGTAAATTCTCGAAGTGGATTACGGAGTGCAAAGATGCGTCCGTCCCGGTACATACAGGAAACAGAACAAGCAGTGCAGTATACCCCATACTGACCATTCTGCGTGCAAGTGTAGGTAAGCGGCACACATCTCAGAGTTTCAGCGTGTGCCTCTTGGACACCTGCAGTACAGCCACGGCGCCACTGTAGAAGTCCCCGCTGCCCTCCAGGGCGTGAGTAGGTTTTTAAGCATGGCTGCAACCATACTGTGCATCTTCTGTGGCCCTTGTGTCCGAGTACAGTGAGGGGCATGGCCCAGGCATTTAGATGCTGTGGGAGTTTGCATTACCTGCAGAGACCTCTGTCTAGGGCCCACCAGAGCGATTTCAGGGCTCAGGTTCATTGGAGGTCTATGTTCCAGCTGTTTGGTTTTAGCAGCAGGGCTCTGAGCAGGTGTAGTTTCCCGGCAGACCACACTCTGCTGAAGCTGAGACTCAGGAGAGACACCAAGGCTCTCATAATGGAGGCCTTTGCCCTTCTGACAGACAGGCGTGTGGGCCTGGAAACACATTCCCAGACAGTTCTAGTTTAGCTGTAAAGGCCACGTGGCTCCTCTGGATGAACGCTTTAAACCCCCTTCCCTGTTCCTGGGCTGCCCCTAAGAAGAACCAATTATGAGTTTAATTTTATATAAAAAGCTACCAGTCTATCATCTGAGTTGTCAATAGTGGAAAAGAAGACCATTTTAAACAAGGGCTCAGGTTGTTCTTAGTATGCTGACAGAAAGAAAACCACAAAATAAATACAAATTTTAACAAGCCCGTTTTGAAGTTAGGCCTCTCACTAGGGCCAGTTTCCCAGATGTAATGTGCAGAATTGGCCACTAGATGGCAAATGTTTCCTTTGGCTTTAACCACAATGACATTTCACGTAACAACGCCAGAGGGTGGGGGAATTAAGAGAACTGAGAATTTTTTTCCTGGTGGAATATGGCATACCCACTTGACAGAGCAGTGTGTCAGGGTTTTAAAAAGTTAAAATCAAGTTACTCAAACCCCAGCAATTCTACTTGTAGAAGCACAGGTAAGAAAACACGGTTCATCATCACGGCATTCACCCACACAACGGCACTGCTCAGAGCCACCATGGTGCCAGTGAGATGTGCTGTGTGCATGTACGGAAGACCGTCTGGAACACGTGTGACTGTGCATGAGTCAAGACCACTGCATTACTGTGACATATTTATAGATGACCACCAGATCTGTGGCCACTGCCCAGAAAAGGAAGGGCTTGGGGTAACTCGGGGAGGGGATGAAGCGTTTCAAGTCTGAATTAGGAAGAACTGGCTCAATTCTGTAGTGTCACAGAGCTGACCTCAAAGACCTGCACTAGGCCCCAAGTGACCCAGTCGGTCCTGCCTCTGGTTCTACTGCTGGTGGCCAGTGGCTGGGTGGGGAGAGAGGGCCAGGGGAAAGGCTTTGCTGTTTGTAATCAGTACCACTCATTCTGAAACAGTTATAAAGTTCCAGTCAGAATTCCTTCCTGGTCTGCCTGAGGCACTTCTGATGACTCACCGCACCTCAGTGCACCCGCTGCTGGAGAGATGGCTCAGTGGTTAAGAGCATTGCCTGCTCGTCCAAAGGTCCTGAGTTCAAGTCCCAGCAACCACATGGTGGCTCACAACCATCTGTAATGAGGTCTGGTGCCCTCTTCTGGCCTGCAGGCATACACACAGATAGAACATTGTATACATAATAAATAAATATAAACAAATAAAAATTTTTAAAAAATGGATACTGTTAGCTTTCTAAACCCAAGGTTCAATGTAACATTTTACAAAGGGACACATTCAGGGGAAAGAAAAGCACTGTGCAGTGAGTGACAGGTTATCTGCACCAAGTCACCAGACTGGGCCTAATTTTTTTTTTTTTAATCATCAAATTCACTCAAGAAACTTTAAGGGTGATAAGTATTTGACCAAAGTTCACTCAAGGTGAGGGTGACGGCATACAACTTTAATCTCAGGCCTTGGGAGGCATACAGGTGAGTCCAAGGATTGCTTGGTCTGAAGAGTGTGTTCCAGACCAGCCAGGGCTACAGTGAGAGCCTTCATGTGAAGATGCTCGTTCTAGGACAGTCAGCAGACCTCACGAGAATGTGGTGCTGAGCGTGAGAACGGTGAGTCTTCACTCAAGGCAAGAGTGCTTTTCATTCTGGATTCGGGGGGCGGGGGATAGCCACACTGCTGAGACCACCTTACAGGTCAGGGCCTTAACAGTTTTGTGTGATGGTACTCACCTCTATCTAAGCCCTGGGAATGCTGAGGCAGGACTGTGGCAGGTTCAAGGCTGCCCTGAGCTATGTAGTAAACTCAAGACTAACCTGAGAGAAACTTTTGCCGTCTCAAAAGCCAAAAAACTAAAAAGGAAGGGGTTCTGGGAGATAATACTGGTAGCATTTCTGAATTCCGTCAGTACCCTCCCCCACGTTGCCCGAGCAACCAAGGCATAAAACCCATTCAATGTGCATAGTGGGCTGACTCACCAGGAAGGGGAACTAGAGTCCTAGGTGCTCCCTGAGGAACCAGCTACAACTAGTACAGTTCTGCCCACTTCAACAGCAGGGGAGAACGAGGGAACTAAGGCAGTATCTGAAACAGCTACAAATCTGTGGAGCCCAAGACCGTTCTGAGCTGGGCATGGTGTGAACACCAACTCGGCTCCCGAGAGGCTGAGGTGGCATCCCACAGTCCAGGTCAGCCTGCACTAACAGAACTCTTGTCTCAGAACCCAAGGGTGAAGATGAGGCTCACTAGGAGAGGAAGCAGGGTCCTAGGTCTGATTCCCAGAATTGCAAATAGACAAAACCCAGCTCAACAAAGTCCCAGGCAACAGAACTGCTATAGCAGGCAGACAAAATATACTGCTTAAAATGGACAACAGTCAAATTTCAGTGTATATATACAACATACATACACACGGAAAAGGAATATGAAATTTCAAACAGCCAAAGAGAATACCTCCCTAGTTTGCTATACAAAAAATTAAATGAAACATTAGACTCTCTAGAAATACACACACACACACACACACACACACACACATTTTAAACTCAGAGACCAAGGAAAAATGTGTAATTAATATTTACAAATATTTTATATGTAAAACTGGTTAAATTTTAAACAAAGCAAATTAAGTTTGTTTTGTTTCCCGTTACTATGGTAAATGCCCCACCAAGCAACACATGCATGTGCACACGCTAAGTAAAGGGAAAGCAAACGGTGGGTAGCCAGAGGGCGTGGCCACCACCTGCTCTGTTTGGGAGCCTCCAATGCGCTGACAGTGACTCAGTGGGAGCATCTTGTGCCTCGCACTGTGGTTTTCTTTTGGGAGCTGAATCGTCCACCTATGCAGGGTAATTCCACTCAAACTTTTTAAGTTAGATTTTAAAATTAGCTGAGTAGTGCGTTTCTATAAGGCATTTTCATACAGCTTTAGTTTGGCTTAATTCACTCCTGCCCCCTCCTCCCCTCCCCCCCATCCTGTCCATCCTGCACCCACTGCTCCTGCCCCCTTCTCCACTCACCATCCTCTCCAATCTTCACTTAGTCTATGAGCCTCCGGTACACTTCTCTCTTCCGTATTTCCTGTAGTCTACTATCCCTCCACTTAGAGTTTGCAATTGGACTTTGAGATGGTAAGCTTCCACAGGCTCTTCACACAGCCTTCCACTAGGCTGGCTTCCCCTCACTCCAATGTCTTCCATCTCTGTGTGCCCCTCCCCAGCTTAAACAGATGGCCTGTAATCTTCTATCCCCCAAAGCCTGGTAGGAAACCCCTGAAACATCCCGCACCAATACAGCATGAATTAGATACTAAATACTTTTTAAAATCAGTCATAGAGAAACAAAAGCAACAAAGAAAATTCTCAATTTTATCACTTATAAAAGCATTTTGTGTGGCTGCAACAGTCTCTTATGTAGACATTTAACAGCACTGTAAGGTCATAGTTCACTTGGGGATCAAGGAAATGAGTTATACTCTGTAGGAGTAAAACATTTACTCAAACATCAAAAAAAAAACAATTAGTTACACAAAACAGTGAAAGACAATGGCAATTTGTTTAGAAAGTCTGAGTGTCAATATAGTATAAAGTATGACTTTAATCACTAAATGGGGGAACCACACAAGGAGCCCCAAAATGTGTCTTAAATTAATGCACAAGAGGTTGAGTTCAGTGCAATGACAGTCCCAGCTTGATGGCAGGTGGTGGCAAGTGCATCCCCTGAGCCCTGGTTTTCAATGTCAACCTACGTGACACAGAGCGAGACCTCATTTTAAAAATTTTAGCCAGGTGGCGGTGGGGCACACCTTTAATCCCAGCACTCGGGAGGCAGAGGCAGGCGGATGTCTGGGAGTCTAAGGCCAGCCTGGTTTACAAGAGCGAGTTCCAGGACAGTCATAGAGAAGCCTGTCTTGAAAAAATGTTATTTTCCACTCATAATTTCAGTTGTTTACAGCACATCCTGGTGTGAACGAGAGGAGCCCTGGGAGGCCCCTCTGGATGCTGAGCACGCTGTTCCTCTGCCCGCAGTCATACCTCTCAAAGCATGTCCCTTCTGCTGTTGTCAGGCCCGCCAGCATTCACAGGTGCAAGGGCACAGGCTTAGCGTGTTAGCTGACCACTGTCTAGTAAAAATCAGAAATGGAGTACACCAGACAGAAAACAGAAAAATATTCTAAATAATCAAATGAGATATTAAGATCCTTAGCTTGGACAATAAAAACAGGCATGACAGTAACCACAGGTGTCCAGCCATCTATGAGACAAGAAGCTGACAGCAGCCACGTTTCAGGTCATCCTCGCTCAGCTAGACGCAGCTGGTCTGCCAAGTGTCGGGGTTAAGTGCTTGCAGGGATGGCTGAAGTACAGCCAGCTACATCAGAGCACACTGACCCAGCAGAACCAGCTCCGAGGCTTACATCACACACATTACACTAGCAAGCCGGCATGCGCTGCTTAACCCCACTCCCTGGGAATCTGGCTCTGGAACTCGGGCTGCCATTCCCTCATACTCAAAGCCCTCCAGGACCCCTTGTTTAGGGACAGGCTGCCCCTGTGCTCCGTGACCCCCTGGGAAAGGGAGGACAGCAGAACAGGCTGTGAGTGCAGATGCTGTGCTGTCCAGAATGTAGAGAAGACTGCAGTCTTGAGCACGGATGTCTCGGCACCTCATGCCAGACATCGTCCTAATGCGTGAGCCTCAGCTACTGCTTACCTGTGATCTAAAATGCCTGTGGTGGGAACAACCAAGGAGAAGGCCTGGGACCTACCTTATGGCTGTCCGGGGTTTCTGCTGGGTGGTGAGAGTCTGCTGTGATGTTCTCCTGTCTTTCTGCTGCTTGCTGTTTAGCCTTTGATTCCCACTTGCTGTACATTTAAACTCCCTCATCTGAAACAGAACTCACGGCTATCATGGATCATTCTCCATACCAAAAAAAAAAAATCTGACAACAGAAAAAAATAGCCCAATATGGGGACTTTAAAATTTGTTGGCTAAAGAGAGCCTTCATCCAGTAACTGATGGAAACAGACGCAGAGATCTACAGCCAAGCACTGGGCCAAGAGCCGAGAGTCCTGTTGAAGAGAAGGAGGAGGAATCGGATGGGCCAGGGGGGTCAAGGGAACCCGCAGAGATAGCTGACCTGGGCTCGTGGGAACTCACAAACTCTGGACTAACAGTCAGGGAGCCTGCATGGGACTGACCTCGGCCTCCTGCATGTGGGCCACGGTTTTTGTAGCTTTGTCTGTTTGTGGGGCTCCAAGCAATGGGATCAGGACCTGTCCCCAGTGCTTGAGCTGGTTTTTGGGAACCCATTCTCCATGTTGAGATGCCTCACCCAGCCTTGATGCAGGGGGAGGAGCTTGAACAGAGACAGAGGAAGAGTGGATGGTGGGGAGGGGGACAGGGAGGAGAGGACAGGGGAAACTGGCTGGTATGTAAAATAAATGAGAAAATTTAATAAAAATATTTTCTGTTGAAAGATGATGGTGATTTGAGCACTTGGGCTGGTTTTTTTGTGTGATCTGTCTGGGAGGCACTGGGCCAGAGGTCAGATGGCTGGAATCCACAAGAATGCCAGGTAGGTGAAGTGAGCTGCACTCTGGAAATAGGGAAGGGGATGCCCGGGGAAAGCTAGATGTATAAATGAACTCTGAGTTCAACTGAGAGAGTCTACCCCAGTGAGTAAGACGACAGCAATCTAGAAAGTCTTAGTCTTTGATGTTAATCCTGTACCCACACATATAAACATACAAACAATAAAGGGCTGTTATATCACAGTGGGATTATCAATATGCTGGGCTTCAGATTATTTGCAGAAATATTCAATTAGGTTCCAATAAATACACTGCAGGACATTAAATAATGAAAAGGAACTGGTAGTTTTCATTTTCTCTGTTTTTACCAACAATATATTTTATTGATTAATGACAAACTTGAACTAATCATCAAACTATACTGCATAAAGGGCTTTTGAAAAATGCATTCATTTCCTGATAATAAATAAATTCAGTTTTGTACAATTATCAAAACCAAGACAGTGACAAATAACAAGATAAGAAAATGGATCCTGGGTCCCAAATCCAATGACTAAAGCAAGGAACAAAGCTAAAGGAACCTTGGGATTTTTTTCCTAGGGTCACGTGCTGCAAACAGTTCCTCTCCACATCTCTGCCCTGGGCAATGGACTGAGCCAATCCAGAGCCATCACTAAGACATTCCCAGTTACACATTTTGCATGAGATGGGAAAAATAACCACAATAGCCCTAACCGTGAGCAGTGCTCTTGGTGGGTGAGGAGCCAGCATGGGCGCCTGTAGTTCTAAAACTCCAAACAGAAACAAAGGGCTTCTTACAGACACTAGGACGGTTTCAAGAGTGCCTCAGAAACACACATTTCCCTACTTTGTAAATACCCAAGAACTGAACGTCACCACCTACAGACAAAAAGCAAAACATAAATTCATCAGCACCATGTAGAATGACCCTCAAGGGAGCAGGCCTCAAGTCCTCATGTTTGTGAGCAGACTTAACTCTCCTCTGCAAAAAATCTACTGCTTGCAGTTAGTATCTTCAGGAGAAAGAACAGATACAACTCAATAAATTACATTTTATTCATCAAAATAAAGAGCTATTTTAAGGTTTGGCACTACATGAAACACTTCTCAGAACAAGTACGGGTTCAGAGATAGACTGCTTCCTGCCTCCTTTGCTATTTGCTAGAGCAGGAAATACCACACTTAACCTGGTGACGTACAGTTCTCCAGTGCTAGGGCCACAAGGTGAGCGTACTCACAACACAACAGCTGGCATTCAACAGGAGAGTAGCTGCAGTCAAAGGGGGCACAGAAAATGCTGGCTCTGTCGTCCCGTTCCTCCGCTGTGATTGCATTGCTGCTGCCGCTGGGCCCTAAGTCACATACAGTCAACCACATTAGTGGACCCATGGCCGACGTCTCGGATCTGGCTAGTTAAGCAGTCACACACGGCTACACCGGCACCAGCTCTGCAGTGAGACACAGGTCCAACCAGCTCCCACCTGGAAAGACAAGACGGGACTGACACAAGAGCACAGGGGTCCCAACTGGGGGCTGTGTTAAAGGACAGCAAGTTTCCAGAGGGAAAGGTATTTCCAAATGTTACATTAGTAACAAGCATTCCTCCACCATCTCAGGCCTGCTTCCCACAGCTTCCGTTATCTACAATACACCATAGTAAATGGAAAACTTTGGAAATCAGCAATGCTATACGCTTTAAATGCTGAGCTGTTCTGCCTTGCCTAGGATAGCCCCTGACTGGTGTGTCATTTCTATAGATGCCATCTGCTCACTGGTCACTGAGGAGGTGGACCAACCATCAAGGTTGTAAGTTCTTTTGGCAAGTTTATCTCAGCACACTGCTGAACACGCTCCGTTTGGTGAGTAACTGTCAGCCTTTAACCAAGCCTAATTTATGCACGGATTTATCTTAGGCACGTGTGGACAGGGGAAGCAGAGCTATACTTGTAGAGTTTGAGTCTACCTGTGTCTCAGGCACCCACCGAGGGAGGGTGGCCCCAGAGGATCATCAAAGAGCTGAGCCTTAATACCGTGGAGTGATCACACTCCACTAAAGAGACAGTATGTTACTTACTTATTCAGAACGGGATCGAAGGCTTCCACTGTGTTGAGGTACGCATTGCCATTGTGGCCACCAACGGCGAAGATTTTGCCCATCACCGTGGCGATCCCTACTCCACCCCTGGGAGTTGTAAGTGCCGCCACGTAATCCCACTTGTTGCTTCGAGGGTCATACCGCTCAACTGAACTCAAGGGCGAATTATCATCAAAACCACCTATGAGAGAAACATTTAAAAACAGAATTGCAGTTCATAATAACTTACAACTAAATCTCAACTCAACATCTTACAGAACTCAAGCTTTTCCTGGGCCTGGTGGTACACACCTTTAATCCCAGCACTTGGGAGGCAGAGGCAGGCTCTGCAGATTCCTGAGTTTGAGCCCAGTCTGGTCTACATAGCAAGTTCCAGGACAGCCAAGGCCTTGTCTCAAACAAAACAAAACCAACCCTCAAGCTATTTTTTAAATTTTCTTTTTAATATTTTTGGGTTTTTTGTTTGTTTGTTTGTTTGTTTTTGCTGTTTTCTGAGACAGGGTTTCTCAGTGTAACAGTTCTGGCTGTCCTGGAACTTGCTCTGTTAACCAGGCTGATCTCAAACTCAAGAGATCTGCCTACCTCTTCCTCCTGAATGCTGGGATTAAAGGCATGCACCACCCCAGCCCAGCTGAATAAATCTCTTCTAATGGGTTAATTTTATATCAACTGAAATGAAATAAATCCACTAATTTTATGTGTATAACCAGATGGATTTTTGGCATTCCAGTCTCATCACAACTGTAACCCTTTTCCTTGTAATCAAACCTCACTACTGCTCATGTCCATGTGGAAGACCAGAGCTTTGGAGTGAAATTTTCTATAGCCGTCTTTTTCACTGGCTCCATGTAATCTCCCTAGGTAATAGGAAAGAATCAGTGCTCGGGACATAGCTCAACAGTAAAGTCCTTGCCTAGCACACAAGGAGCTGGGTTCCATCACTACAAAGAAGGAAGCATCAAGGCCAAGGCAGAGAGGACGCAGGTGCCTGCACCTCACACTGCTGTTATTCAGATGGCTGAGCCCATTTCAGGTCGGATCTGAGGTCCATGAGGTTGTTTTCTGTAGTTCTCAGCGCTCGGAGTTGAAGCCAGAGCCTCCTGCATCTAGGTGAGAACTTTGCCACTGTGCTGTCCCAGATCCCAAGAGGGTTGCTTTAATGTTCAATCTGAGTTTGAACATCTGTTCAAAGACAAGATGCTCCTGTGGCCATGTGACACATGGTGGTGACCTGTCTATGGTTTGTCTGGACATGTGAAAGGCTGCAACCATACACTGTAAGAACTTCAGTTCTTTCACACTCAAACTCAACCTCCACTCTATTGCTTGTATAGGCACGCGGCTGTCTCTGCAAAGGAGGCTGAGGTCAATTGTGTAGTTGCCCTTGCTTCTCCAGCAAGAACACAGACTCAGCATTGCTTTGACTTGCAAATGTTAAACTAAAACAACAACCCACTCTGCTCCTAAGAACTGTAAATGGCATAACCCTAACAGCACACTTCTGTGTATAGCAGGATGTAACGTGCTAGTGGCCTTTCTGAGCAGAGCTCCTTCTTTGTAAGGAGGGTTACTAACCACAAAAGTGTCTGTGCTGAGCACAGCTGCAAATGTGCACTGTCTCTGACTCCCAGGACAGTTCTGACGGGGCATTCCCAGCCCACTCACAGTCATGAAAGGCCCCTTGGAGGCAGCACTGCACCCCACCTTTAGGAGCAAAATGATGCAGACTCTGCCTCCTCTTCATCCAGGGCAGACTGTTCCCTGCATGTAAGAATCAGAGAAAGCAGGGCTCTACACGTCCTTCTAGGTCAGCACTTCAAACAGTCAAAAAGCAACAGAAAGACTCACACAGGCTTCACACGGAAAAGCCATTGGGATTCTGGAAACCGTACTTTTGCTTTGAAATGAAGCGGAAGGAAAGCAGGTCTCCAGGCTTTGGAGGACTAGTTTTAGCAAAGCACGTCTGTTTCTATGTTTGCAAATACGTATTTCATCAAATGCAACCCCTACTTTAGATGTAATCTAAGTTTTGCTGTTTGGATTTTTGTTTGTTTGAGACAGGGTCTCGCTATGCAGCCCTGGCTGTCCTGGACCTCCCTATGTAGAGCAGGCTGACCTCAAACTCACAAAGACCCACCTGCTTCTGCCTTCTGAGCGCTGGGATTAAAGGTGTGCTCTACCATACCTGGCAGAAGTTTTAAGTATGAAGATTTAAATCAAGAAGCACTAATGTCAACTTTAAGAATTCAAAAGCACACCTCCGGGCTGGTTCTTAAAGATTAAATCTGATGGTTTGTTACTGTGTTATTTTATGGCTCTCGTCAACACATACCATGATATATTAGAGAGATGACATGTACTCACCAACAACATATAAACAACCGTGGAGTTCACTGACGCCATTGCCGGCTCTCCGCTGGCCCATCTCTTTGACTTCTATCCACTTATCCAGGTGAGGGTGATACCTTTCCACACTGGACAAGGAGGCCACTCCGTCATTGCCGCCCACTGCATAAACATGGTTCTAGAGGAAGGAAACAGGCACAGGATAAATGGATTTACCCACAGTCCTAACAGGCGAGCAGAATGTAGGAAGCCACCGCTTCAGGAACAGTCTGGTACAGAGTCAGCCCTGTAGCTGCTGGCGTGAATTAGACCACGTCGCCCATGGGAAGTGCTGTGTAACTTACTACTAAAGCCACAGAGCCAACGCCTCCGCGGGGAGTGTTCATTGGTGCCACTGCGCTCCACTGGTCAGACTCGATGTCGTATCTCTCCACGTCACTGAAGCAGGTATTGTCATCTAACCCTCCAATTGCATATATCGGGCCCCCCAAGGAGGCCAAAGCAATTCCTCGCCTGCAAAAAAAAAAAAAAAACCAGTAAAGCCTGTTTCAGGAAAAAAGAAGACATTTTTATCTACGCAAACCACTTCTGAGGATGCTCATCAAACTGTGTGGTTTTCTTCCAGTGTTTTAAAATGTATTGTTTCTGAGTAGGTGCTGGGTCCTTTGACCTGTATGGTGCATGGGAAACTTGGGTCAAGCTCTGGTTCTTTTTTCTTTATTTTTTTTTTCTGGGGGTTGAGTCCAGGACCTTGCATCTATCAGAAATGTATTTTACCTCTGAGCTACATTCTAACCCTAAATCAGAACTAATGATGCAAAACCCAACAAAACAGAATAAAGAAATCCAAAGTGTTCAATTACCAAGCAGACAGTTACATAACTGAGGAGCTAATTGGGCTGATAAGAGAACAGTCTTCTATGGATTCAAAAAGCAAACCAGTGCTAAACTAATAGGTATGTTTAGTTGCAGGGTTTTACTAAAACACCACACAAAAAAGAACATTCATGTTTCTATCACATGCTGTGTAGACACTGCTTTATTTCTGAAAAGATTTTTTTTGAAAGGATGACTCAGCCCCTACTGAAAGTTAACTCACTGTTATAAGGACAATAAAAAAGGACAAATTATAGCCACCAAAAGTTGAGCTATTCTAAACCACTGCAGTAGACATAGAGGCCTTGAGGATAAACGGTCCCTGGTAACATTAGAGATGTGAACAGCAGCTTTGCCCCTTCTTAAGCTTCTTGGTGAAAAGCACGGAATGCTCCAGTCCCAGTGGGTACGCAACACTCAACTACTGTCACACAGCACTGTACCGGGTGTGTTCCTAACCTGATTCTCTTCTTAATGTAGCCTAGGCATTTATTATCTGTGTTTACATCACTCACTTCTTTGTGCATCCCTACATACACCTCGTTTTCAAATTATACACAGATTACATGAATTGCAAAAGATGCACCTGAACCAAAGATTTAAAGCATAAAACAGCGCAGCGATCATCCTACAGAGAGCACAACATAGCAGCACTGTGATTATAATCTCCCCGAGAGCTCTTCACTCTTGAATGCAGACGACTGTAAACTCTCTCCTCTATGTAGACTGTACTGTGAACACGCTAGCCCTCTCCTCTATGTAGATGACTGTACTGTGAACACGCTAGCCCTCTCCTCTATGTAGACTGTACTGTGAACACGCTAGCCCTCTCCTCTATGAAGACTGTACTGTGAACACGCTAGCCCTCTCCTCTATGTAGACTGTACTGTGAACACGCTAGCCCTCTCCTCTATGTAGACTGTACTGTGAACACGCTAGCCCTCTCCTCTATGTAGACTGTACTGTGAACACGCTAGCCCTCTCCTCTATGAAGACTGTACTGTGAACACGCTAGCCCTCTCCTCTATGAAGACTGTACTGTGAACACGCTAGCCCTCTCCTCTATGAAGACTGTACTGTGAACACGCTAGCCCTCTCCTCTATGAAGACTGTACTGTGAACACGCTAGCCCTCTCCTCTATGAAGACTGTACTGTGAACACGCTAGCCCTCTCCTCTATGAAGACTGTACTGTGAACACGCTAGCCCTCTCCTCTATGTAGATGACTGTACTGTGAACACGCTAGCCCTCTCCTCTATGAAGACTGTACTGTGAACACGCTAGCCCTCTCCTCTATGAAGACTGTACTGTGAACACGCTAGCCCTCTCCTCTATGTAGACGACTGTACTGTGAACACGCTAGCCCTCTCCTCTATGTAGACACTGAACCCGCTATCTCTTTCCTATATGTAGACGACTATACTGTGAACACGCTAGCCCTCTCTATGTAGACCACTGTACCGTGAACACGCTAGCCCTTTCCTTTAAGGTCTGTATTTCACACTTGCACAAGGCAACTACTTTACTCTGCACCAAACACCTGCACACCCCATCTCCCACCATGTAGTTCTAACTGATGCCTTAAGCTTTAGTACATACCCTTGTTTGACACCTGTTAGAGGGTCTGTCTCTAGAATATCTGGTCTGCTTGTTTTGGGGGCTGCTGCTGCTGGCTGTTACTTTGTGGTCCTGGGGACCTGAAGCATGCTAGGTAAACCCTGTGCTACAGAGCTGTAGCCCCAAGCCTACTGCCTGTCCAAATCCTGCTTTGGTGACATGATTTTAGTTGCTATTTTATCTCAGGATGTTGGAAGATACTATTCAAATAATTAATAAAAATTTATAAGCAGGTAAATTACTGAATTATGTAATTAGCAATCTCCCCTTTAGACAAGCTCTAATAATCAAAATATAGTTCAACTTATTATAGATGAGAATTTAATATATCTTAAAATCAGTAAAGAAAACAAATCAATAGAGCTATTTTCTTAACAAGAAAATATTTTCTTAACAATAAGCTTTACTCCTAGTTACTATCTTATTTAAGAGAAACACTGCATACATTTTCCTTAAGGTCAGGAACAAGACAAAAATACCTATTTCAATTTCTATTCATATGGTAATAACTTGTCAGTCAATAAAGGAGGTATGTAAAACAAATTAGAAACCTAAGAGTGTATGAGGAGGGGCTGAGGGATGTCTCGGTGGCCAAGAGCACTTGCTGTTTCTGACAACTCTGACTCTTAACTCCAGGGGATTTGACACCCTCTTTGGCCTCAGTGGGCACACACACATCTGTAAAGAAAAATGTATTGGGGAACCGGCAAGAGTTGACAGTGCTGCATCGATGATTTTCTGAAGCTGTACTACAGCTGTGAGATGTTAAGAACAGAAGCCGGATCAAAAGATAAATGGATATACCTAGCGTGTCTCAGCTGCAAGCCAAGTGACTCTTTGCTCTAGAGGGCTGGCTGCCCTCCAGCATCGGAGGCTTTTTAGCAGCATCCCTGTGTCCTAGGAGATACTAGCAGGAACTGTCTGGCCGAGGAGGAGGTAAGATGATCTTCAGCTGAGAAGACCTGATACCTGTAACTCTACATTCCCTTGAACAGAAGTGTGAGGCCCGCCTGCATGACAGGAGATCCGGTCTCGACACAACAGAAAAAGAAACAAAGCAAAGCACCATGGGCCGTGGAGGTGGCTGCAGGTAAAGGCACTCACCACTGAGCTTGGGGACCTGCGTTTGGCCCCCAGGACCCATGATGGAAGGAGAGAACTGATTCCTGTGAGCTCTCCCTGACCTCACATTGCACTCCTGCTGCAGGCACGCACCTCCCTTCTCCACCAAAATAAACAAATGAGCACAAAGAGAGTTTTAAATAAAATTAAACAAAATGAACAAAAAAAGGAATGCTACCGTATTTGCAATTTTTCTGAAAAAAAAAATCTAAAGTAATTTCAAACAAAAAGTTTCAAAAAGAGCAGCAAGGCTTCCTACAGAAGACTCTGGCTATCATGATGGGAACTAAGAGGCAAATCCATTTAAACAAGCTTGAATGTATGTGTGTGCGCGTGTGCACACGAGTGCACGCACACGCGTATACATGCACAGGTGTGTATAGGTGCTGGAGTTCACAAGAAGTGTCAGACCCCTGAAGCTGGAGTTACAGGTGGTTGTGAGCTGCTCATTGTGGGTGCTGGGAACAGAACTTGGGTCCTCTGGAAGAGCAGCAGAATCTGACTGCTGAGCCATCTCTCCAGCTCCCTACAATTCTATTCTTAAATATAAAAGTTGTGACAAAGCATTGCTTTGGGTGCGTTGACAAAATGGGCTTGAGAAGATAAGTTTCTAAAGGTGGGGAAAAAATCCTCCAAGATAAGACTTTTCCATATTTGTCCTTCTGACTTTATACTATCAGTTCAAAAGGGAGCTGCATGGTACCTACCTCTTGGTATTCATTGATGCCTTCATCATCCATTTATTAGTGAGAGGATCAAACATCTCCATGCTACCTAAGTGTTCATTCCCATCATGGCCACCCACTGCATACACTTTACCTGTCAAAACAAGTATTTTCATTTGAGTCCCAAGTGATATTAATGTTATTTACATGCAAGCAATACATAAGCAGAATGTCATAATAAATTAACTTTTAACTTTTTTTCTGTTCAACATGGAATTGATGTCATCAGGAGAAAGTGATAATCAGTGTAAGCTTTCACTAAACGTGTGTAAAGCTGTAAACCTTCAAACGCCATTCTTGGGTTTCATCACTTTTTATTAAATAGCAAATGAAATCATTAATTCTGCTTTTAAAGCAGGTCAATAAATAAAAAAGGCTAATAACAAGTTATAAGGAAAATGTAAAACTGTTAATATAAAGTGATCATCCTCTCTCTAAGAAAGCGAGAAGACTGTGGTCTAGGACCGAGCTATAGCCTCAGCAACCCCAGCACTTTCCTGCACTATACACTTACAGAAATCACATGTGAAATCATTACTAAAAATTAACTGCAGAACCATCGAAAATTGTTAGAAAGCTTTTAAGAACCACCTTTTCCTCATGTTACAAGAGGACAAACGTTTCTGAAAACACAGGCCGGGAGACAGCTCAGCAGTGGGACGTGCTGGGAGCTCTTGCACATGATCCACCAGCAGCACGCTGAGGCTCTAAACTGTCTGGAGCTCCAGTTTCAGGGCGATCTGGTGCCCTCTGCTGGCCTCCTCTTGCACCAGGACACACACGCAGACACACAGCCAAACACACAAAACAAAAGTAGCTTTAATCTCAACACTTGGAAGGCAGAGGCAGGAAGATCTCTGACTTCAAGGCCAGCCTGGTCTATAGGACAGGTTCCAGGACAATAAGGGCTACACAGAGTCTCGGAAAATCGAAACTGAGTAAATAAACAATAGAATAAATAATAAAAAAAATTCAGCCAGACAGTGGTGGCGCATGCTTTTAATCCCAGCACTTGAGAGGCAGAGGCAGGTGGATCTCTGTGAGTACAAGGACAACCTGGTCTACGAGAGCTAGTTCCAGAGCAGCTAAGGCTATGACACACAGAAACCCTGTCTCAAAAAAAAAAAAAAACCTCTTGAAGTACATAAAAAAATAAGTTAGGAGTTGGGAATGTAGTTCTTGCCTATCACACAGGAAGCTTCAGGTCAGCTCCCAACACTGTAAACTAGATGTGGGGGTGCACACCTGTGATCCCAGCCTGAGAGGTAGAAGCAGGAGGATCAGAAGGTCAAGGTCAGTCTCAGGTACACAGCAAGTTCTAAAACACAAGGGACTTTCTCTTGAAAAAAATTTAATAAAAACAAACTGATTTAGAACCAAAAGATTTACTATAATTGATCTTAGGACATTTTATATGTAAGCCAAGTGTTCTACTTTTGAGACACATTCTAAGCCTTTGGCAATTTGAAACAGGGTCTTGCCATGTAGCTCAGGCTGGCCTGGAATTAAAATCCTCCTGCCTCAGTCTCCAAATGCTGCTATTATAAGTATGTGCTGCTTTCCCAGTTGCTCAGTTTTAAATGTATACACCAACATGATCATCTATACACCAACATGCAATTTATACACCAGCATGCAAATTTACACACCATCATGCTAATTTATATACCAACATGCAAATTTATACACCAACACACTAATTTACATAGCAATGTGCTAATTTATATGCCAATATGCTAATCACACCAACATGCCAAACATCTGTGGACAGAGGCCCGCAAATGACCACCACTCAAACATTTCATCAATATATTAAAATACATTACAATTAATATTTTTCCTTATAAAGCTCATGTAATGAAGAAGAGCACCATAGTTTAATGATGTCACTTCAGCAACAGCAGGCTCACCTTCCACAGAGATCACACCCACGTGTCGCCTCCGGCTATTCATTTCTGGTCCAAAGAACCAGCTGTTCTTGCTGATAGAATAGCATTCAATACTACGGAAGGGGTCACCAGAGCCACCTCGGCCACCCACACAGAACAGAACACCTGGAGGCAGAGCACAAGACACAGGTCAATATCATGGCTTTGAAAACTTTATTTTTTAATCAGTTGGAAAACAATTGCCAAATTCTGAGTAATGTTTTTTTTTAAAGGATGAATTATAAAATCTAATTCCCCCCCCCCTTTCCTTGAACTTTTCAAAGACTATGATTCATCGGTTATCTATCCTTTCTTATATCCTCACTCATTACAAGTGTCCTTGCTAAAGTCATAATGGAACTGATTTTATTTAGGAAAAAGGACAAATGTATTCCTACACTGCAAAGAGAACCTCTGCACAGCTATCTGCTTCAATCAACATCCCATGTTTCCCTCTCAACACAAGGCAGAGTTAAACACACTCTAACTGTCTGGAAGCCTCCTTAGAAGGAGACCTAGAGGTCTCCACCCTGTTTCTATGCTTTGCCCACTGGCCACTCTCCACTTTCTATGCTCCGAGGAAAGGTCCATCTCTTTGTGTTACACTGCCTGTATCTCAGCATCTTCAGTGAACACGCCGAGCCACGCAGCCACCTGAGGCCTACAGAGCCCAGACAGCCTGTGTCCAGAGCACTGTCTTCCTTCCTTTCCCGACATGTCCAACCTGTCCCTATCAAGCTGCCATTATGTGGGTGCAGGTATCACCGGCTATGACTCAGTTACAAGATCCCAGCCCTTCCAGTCAGCCAACAGAACTGGGCTGATTAAATGACAACAGCCCCACAGCCCACAGGAAGCAGCACTACCAGGAGGTGTGGCCTTGTTGGAGGAAGTGTGTCCCTGGGGGTGGGGTTTAAAGTTTCAAACACTCAAGCCAGGCCCAGCATCCATTCTTCCTGCTGCCTGTGGATCTGGATGTAGAACTCTCAGCTACTCCTCCAGCACCATGTCTGCCTGTGTGCTGCCTGTCATGCTTTCTGACGTGACAATGGTGGACTAAACCTCTGAACTGCAGGCCAGCCCCAAAGAAATGTTTTCCTTTGTAAGAGTTGCCATGGTCATGGCGTTTCTTCACAGCAATAAAACCCTAACTAAGACAAGGACAATCTAATAAAAAGCTGTTTCAACAGGCTCCCATAACCTCTATCCAAAAAGCTTCAGCAAATGCCCTGGATTGTAAAGATGGTTAAGGTGCCATATTCCGTACCTACTCACCACAACTGGAAGGCAGAGACTTCAGTGTGACTCAGAACCATCTGAAGGTGTAGAGCACAGATCTGGGGTCTGACCCTCAGATTCTCTGACTCAGTCACTGGGGAAAGGTTTAAGGACTGAATTTCTAACAGGCTCCTGGGGTGGCCATTGTCACCACACTTTGAGAAACACTGAGTGCTGTCATGGTAAAGTCTTAAGGCTAGAGATGTGTGTGCTCAGGGTTAGAACGCTTGACTGAAGGCCAGGGTTCATCCCCAGAACTGCAAGATAACATTCACCTTCAGCACAGCACACATGCCCTCCAGTCAGCCCCAGCAGTAGCCAAGCTCCAGCGCACGTATCCAGCGCATCCAGCACCCACCGTGGGACCCCTACAGCGCTGTGGTGACTGTCATAACCAGAGGACAACTGTGGGAGTGAGTATCACACACTAAGCAGACAGTGCCTGCCATGTCCTCAGCACTCTGGGGAGATAAAGGGAGCCACTTTCCTCCTAAAAGGCATCCTGAGGATTTTTGAAGAAAAGGCTGAGCTTTATTCTCTCTTGGAAACTTTTCCTGTCCCTTACAAAGCAGCTTCCATCATCCTCTGCACCCCACGTTGGGTGGTCACCACACTGGGTGGTCACCTCACTGGGTGGCCACAGCACCTGCAATGCTCTACTGAATTTATCTGTTAAATTGTCTTTTCCCTGCACCAGACCAAGTTCCCAAACACAGGCTGTCTGTCTGCACGTACAAACAGCCCAGAGCCTGCAAGAACAGGCATTAAATGTTATTTAATGAGTCACTACGAAGATGAATGCGCTGACCCACTCACACTCCCCTTTCCACGAATTCACACTAAGTCAGAGAAACCCAAGTAAGAGGAGATCAGAAAGATCATGCAGTCAATCTTATAATAAACCAAGGTCTTGGAAGATTAAGGAATTGGTTCAATATAACGACAGTGGCGGGACTATAATCCCAGAATGTAAACTCATTCTTAGATGACATTTTCTCTAAACTACATAGGTGACCTTTGAACATGTTATGAAACAAACAAACAAACAAACAGAAATAAAAAGGAGGCAAAACTATCAGAATACAAACGTTGTTTCTGTAGAGTTTGGAAAACTTCAGCCTAATTCTTAGTTGTCTCTTCTCTAAATGGAGAACCACCATCCCTAAATGGAAGAACACGTCCCTAAATGGAGGAACACCAGCTCTCTGACCGAAAGCTGGGTCCTCTGTGAAAACCTGTTCTGTAACAATCTTATGACATGTGAGACCACACACATGAAAGTCTGGTATATTCTGGCATGAGCCTAGGCTGAATTCAAATCTGGTTTGCAGAACACTTTGCCAAGCAAGTACAAAGCCCCAGGCTTCATCCCCACAGCAAACAAGCAGAGAAAATGGTGAACTTAGAGAATTTAATTAAACATTTTAACCATATGAGACAGGATTCACAAAACCAGAGTTCTGTGATGGGGAAACAGGGCTGGCCTGGAAGTCTACATAGTCACTGTCTAGACTAGGCTGGCATCAAACTCACAAGATAAAAGTCTACCTGCCTCTCCCTCAAAAGTGCTGGGATTAAAGGCATAACTGAAATAGAAACTTTAACTCTATTTTCTGACATTAAAGAAGAAGAAATAACAGTCTTTCTCACACTACTAATTATTTGGAAGAACATCCTCAGAAGCAGGTAACTCATACTCAGGCTGACTCTATGGCTGTCAGGCTTCTCCCCACATCACTATCTGGTAACAATGCAGAGGGAACTGATGTACAGGATTCTGTTGGCTGAGCTGCTGGACTTCACTTGTATTCTCTCATCCCCCAAATATGAAAATAAAAGTGATCAGGGCACGGTGATACATACCTGGAATCTCAGCCTGGTTTATGTGGGGACTTTCAGGTTGGCCTGGGAAGTATAAGACCCCATCTCAAAACAAGACACACACACACACACACACACACACACTTTTCTTGGAAAAATATAAAGTGGAAAATAGTAAAACTAATAGGAAAGTATGTGCTTCTTAAAGTATAGGAGTTTTAAATTCTAAGGGTTTAACACAGCCTTTCACACAAACGTTACGTATGTTTTTTTAAATATTTATTTATTATGTGTAGGGCCCTGGTCTCCCTTACTCCTGGGGTGCATTGGCGGGGACAGTTTGTTATTTGTTAACTAAGCTTCCTGTGTGTTTCCGTACTATCCCTGCCCCACCTGGTGATTTAGCTACAAGCAATCTTCTACATTGTTAACTAAGTTTCCTGTGTGTTTATTTCCCACCTCCCTGGGTGGTGAGATCTTTGTGCTGCAGTTAGGTAGAAAAGGGCTTCCCCAAGTCTGAATAAACGGCATTCGCTTGATCTCCTATCGAATGACCCTGGTCTCTGTCTCTTGTGTTCAATCTCCAGGCCCTTGCCCGGACTCGCATTCGGTACAGCTGCGCGCGAACTGTACCGAGGGTGTAACACCAAAACCGGGTGCTACAATTATGTATACAATAGTCTGTCTGTGTGTATGCCTGCAGGCCAGAAGAGGGCACCAGACCCCATTACAGATGGTTGTGAGCCACCATGTGGTTGCTGGGACTTGAACTCAGGACCTTTGGAAGAGCAGGCAATGCTCTTAACCTCTGAGCCATCTCTCCAGCCCCGTTAGGTATGTTTTTATGCTTTTCTTTGGATTCTGTAAAATACAATGACAAGTACTGAAATATGTGACGTGTGCCAAGCTCAATGTCTGGCACTATCGATACACGCCTTAAAGATCTTCAGCCACTTCTGAAGAATAGGTCAGTCTCGAGACATGTCAATAAACAAATTACAAGACAACACAGTCAAACAAGTTCCAACAAAGTTTTCTAAAGGCCCCAGTAGTGTCTAATCTGCCCAAAGAACCAGGGAAGATCTCAGAGGAAAAGCCTTTGCCTCAGATTTTGTAGGATTTACAGTCTTTTATAAAAATTGGCTTATTGTAGGCAGGCCCAGCAGTGCATGACAGCGATCAAGAATTCAGGAGTCAGAGGCAGGGCTGTGGGTCTGAGGACAGCCTGGGCTACAATGAGATTTTGTCTAATAAAACCAAACTCAAAACCAAAAAATTGCCATGCTAGTAACTAAATGATGTACATTAAGAATCACACACACACATACACACACACACACACACACACACACACACACACACACACCCCTACTGACTAATTACTCACTTAAGACACTCAGACCCGAATTATCTGACTATCAAGTGTAGGCACACATAACCAATAGCCCTCAGCTACGTCAAACCCTTTCTGGCAAGCTGCTGAGACGAATGATAATTTACTGACCGGCCGTATGTTTCCTTGGGGTAGTGCGGACTGTGTACTCAAAGTCAGGGACGGGTTTGCTGCTCAAATGAAGGTGGTAGTTTCTAGCTTCATCCAGCAGATCTCTACACTTTAGGTTCTGCTTGACAATCTGTTCTTTTGCCACCACACCCATAAGAAAATCAACCGGCAGCAACGGCAGACGGACCTAAAATCATTGACAGTTACATGTGAAGTAAAAGTTGAAAATAATTGTTAGACATGCTTTTAAAAAACAACTATAATCACACTTTGATATGTTTTCTTCTTCTGAGTAAAAATATAAATTTGTTCTTAATATGCTAAGATTTTGATAACAACATTAAAATGTTTTATTAAATCCAAGTATCACTGAGCATGGTTAATCATATCTGTACTCCCGGAGTATGGGAGGCCAAGAGAGGAGGAGCCTGAACTTGGGGCCTCTCAGTGATAGAGTACCAGGCTAGTCTGGGCTACATTGTCTCTGTCTCCAAGAAACAATAAATTGAATCAAGTACCCAGTGTTTTTAGTTGGTTTTGTTTTGTCGTTTTGTTTCGTTTTCAGACAGATTTGAAGGCAGCCCAAGCTGGTCTCAAATGTGAGCCAAGGATGCTTTCTGACTCTGATCCTCCGGCCTTTATCTCCTCTATACTGTGGTTCCAGGCAAGAACCATCATGCCTGACTTGTGCCGTGTGGAGGATCAAACCCAGGGCTTTATTCGCGGTAGGCAAGCAAGCTGTCCACCAAGTTCCCTCCCTACCTCGATCAGAATGTTTATCAATTCCAAAGTTGTAACAAAGCATTAATTTCAGAAAAGGGTAAGTAAAGGAAACCATTTCTCTTCTAAGTAGTCTTGTTTCACTTCTCAGGAAACAAAATAAACACAAGGAGGGAGAGGTGGAGGGAAGGCAAGAGCAGACAACAGGGAAGGAAAGGGGAACATGGGATACAGACCTGGAAGGCTTACTGTTAGTTCCTTATCACGGCACCCACAGTACAGTCAAAAACAACCATCATAACAAACACGTTTCTGAGGTTTGAAACTTTAGCACCCAAAGTGATACTATGTGGGTTTTTTTTTCCAGAATACATCTATAATCATTAGGAAAATGAGTCATTAAAACTTAGAAACTTCATTATAAAGGTATGTTATAGGTAGAACTGTGTCCTAACACTGTATCCATGACTATTTCATATCGATATTTTAAAAACTTGAACTAGGAATCATTCAAGAACAACAAGTGCAGATTGCCATAGTGTAGGAACCGCACAGCCATGAAGAGTTAACTCCAGAGCCCTACACCCTGTAAATGGCAGCGCACAGAACCAGCACAGCACGGATCCGCTTCCACGCAGCCTCGCCTGCACACAGCCCCCTGCAGCCCTACCTGTGCGAGGGTCTCGTCCAGCCACTTGGAATGGTGCTGGGGATTGGCTAGGAGCCACTTGATGGCCGCACTGTAGACCTGCTTTTCGCTGTCGATGTTGAGATCGCTGGAGGACAGCAGCTTGTGGAGGTGCTGGGGTGACACGCTCACGAAGTCTTCGCATCCCACCACTTCCGTGAAGTGCTCGCAGGCGTACTGGTCCGCCATGTCCATGAGGTCGATCCGGTTGTGGCTCTCGGCAAAGGCTCGTACTGCCAGGCAGTTGGACGGGTGAAAATGCAGCTTCATGTATTCGCAGCAAGCCCTGGCCACCAGTTCAACCTGCAGGATGCAAGCCGCATACAGGAGGGGCTGGACATTGTCCACTGTCAGAGTGAGCCGGGAGGAGTACACGAACTTCACCAGGTCTTCCACCGCATCGCCGTCAAAGTCCCGAATCTCGATCAGCGCCTGCTTGGCTTCAGCCATTTCGGAAAGGAACATGGCTCTGAAGTAGGGAATGACGCAAGCCAGCACCAGTTTGTGACAGGAGATCAGCTTCGAGCCAACCTGCTCAAAACCACACATGGTGAGAAGGCAGTTCTAGCACACTCCCTCAGGGCAGCAGAGAACACACGCTGTGGACAAGGACCACATTCTAGGCAGCTTAGACTAGAGGACTCATTTGAATAATGCAATCCTTAGCTTCAATCTAGGCCAGTTGCTTAACGAACATAATTTTCATCTCCCAAATCCGCCACATTAAACTAATGTTTTCTATATTATCTCATATGTAAGGATCATTTTGTGAAACAATAACTTTTTCTTTTTCTTTTCTTTTTTTTTTTTTTTCTTTTTTGGTTTTTCGAGACAGGGTTTCTCTGTGGCTTTGGAGCCTGTCCTGGAACTAGCTCTGTAGACCAAGCTGGCCTTGAACTCACAGAGATCCGCCTGCCTCTGCCTCCCGAGATCATCAATAGCCTTCTTATAAATGGACAAATGGACTGGGAAAGAAATTGTGCCCTTCACAATAACTTCAAAAAGTATCTTGGAGTAACTCTAACCAAGGAAGTGAAATATTTTCTAATATAAACCTTAATACATCGAAAACATGAAATTGAAGAAATATAAGAAAATGGAAAGCACTCCTATGCTCCTGGATCTGTAGGATTAATATAATAAAAATGGCCATCCTGCCAAAATCAGTCTACAGACTCAGTGAAATCTCCACCAAAATTCCAACACAATTCTTCACAGAAATTTTTTATTTTAAGTTAATTTTTAAATTTCCACTTAAGTGGGGTTTTCCTTTCCTTTCATTAAACATAGATTCTTTTCTCAAACAATATAATCTGAATACAGTTTCCCCTCCTTCTTCTCTTCCCAGCTCCATCACGCACACGCATGCAAACACACACACACACACACACACACACACCAAAACCCCAGGATAATGAAAACTATCCTGAGTAACAAAAGAGCTGCTGGAGGTGTTGCAGTACAGAGCTACAGTAACAAAACAGCATAGTACCAGGGTAAGAACAGACATGTTGGTTAATGGAGCCCAAAGAGTCGGACATAAGCACACACACCTTTGCATACCTGATTTCTGACAAAGAGGTCAGAATTACACACTGGAAAACAAAGAGCATCTTCAACAAATGGTACTGGTGAACCCGGATGGCTTCAGTAGGAGAATGTAAACAGATCCATACCATTACCCTGCACAAAACTAAACTCCCACCTGATCAAGGACTTCAACATAAGACCTGATTCACTGAGGCTGATAGAAGAGAAAGTGGAAATAGTCTTGAAGTCACTTACACAGGAAAAGACTTTCTGAACAGAACACCGTTAGCAGAGACACTAAGACCAACAATTAATAAATGGGACCTCATCAAACTGAAAAGCTTCTATTTGAGCAAAGAGACTAGCCACAGAATGAGAACAGCTCTTTTGCAATTACACTTATGATAAAGGGTTATTATCTAAAATTTATAAAGAACTGGACATCAAGAAAACAAATACACCTATTTAACAGAACTAAGCAGGGAGTTCTCAAAAGATGAAAAACCAATGGCTGAGAAGCACTTAAATATTCAACATCGTTAGTCATCATGGAAATGCAAATCAAAATTACTTTGAGATTTCATTTTACACCAGTCAGAATAGCCAAAAGCAATAAAACAACTGATAGCTCAAGCAGGTGAAGATGTGGGGAGAGGGGGACACTCATCCGTTGCTGGTGGGAGTGCAAACTTGTGCAGTCACCATGGAAATCAGCATGGCGGTCTCTCAGGAACCTGGGAGTATATCTGCCTCAGATACAACTCTACAATTCTTGGGCATACACCCGATGAACTCTGCATCCTACTGTAGGGATACCAAGTTCATCATCATTGTGCCTATCCGCAATAGTTAGGGATTAGAAGCAGCCTAGATACCCATTAACTGATGGATGGGCAATAACGACGGAATATTATTCATGTTAAAAAGACAAAATTATGAAATCTGCAGGTAAATAGGAGATAGGAAAAAAACATCCTGAAGTAACCCAGACCCCAAAAGACAAATATTGTATGTTTTCTCATACATGAGGATGTCAGCTTTTAGGCCTTTGATGTGCTTGCTACACCAAGGCTAGGTATCCAGTATGGGACTCCTAAGAAGGGGAACTAGAATAGACAGCTATGGAGAAATGGGGGTGGTTGGGAGAACTGGGGTGAGCTGATTAAATGGAAAGAGGGGCAGGATGAGAACAAGAGGAGAAATATGGAGAGGGACAACACTGAGGGCCATTTATGGGGTCCTAAAACCTATTACTATAGAAGCATCCTAAATATATAATACATATATGAAAGAAATCTAAATAGAGGCACCAACAACCATAGAGATGATGTTCCAACTAGACATCGCTCAAAACCAAGTGAAACCTCCAGGGTCAGGAATTGATGTCAGCAGAGTTGTTGGCCCAAAGGCCTTCTAGGAACTTCCAAACATCTCAGGCTATTGCCAAAAAAAATTGCTTATTCTCCACAAATTTGAGGGAAAGGCCCAGTTGTTAAAGAGAACGCTTACCTATATCTCACTGATCACGGAGAAGCTGAGCTGCTGCCTAACAAGTCTTCACCGCTCCTGGCTAGTGTTCATGGCACTGAGAGGGACACTGCATGCTACCAGGGGAGAAAGGTAACCACCAGCTCAGCTACAAACCTGGTGATGGACGACAGTGACCTGTCTGTAAGACAGGCTGGTGAAACACTGGCACAAACACTATGGGGCAGCCAATCAGCCTCTGATTGGAATTAAGGCCTCTCCAGGAGACGGAACCCATACTGGCATTGCTCAGGTGGTACCAAATACCTCGGTTCTGCTGAAGAAGCAGCGATAAAATGACTCCTAATGACGTTCTACTACGTCCACAGATGGGTGCCTCACTCAGCCATCAGAGACACTTCTCTCCTGCAGAGACCCACAACTGGACAGTGTGGAGAGAGAGAGAGAGAGAGAGAGAGAGAGAGAGAGAGAGAGAGAGAGAGAGAGAGAGAGAGAGAGAGAGAGAGAGAGAGAGAGAGAGAGAGAGAGAGAGAGAGAGAGAGAGAGAGAGAGAGAGAGA